AAAATGTCATTTCCAGGACTGTACCAATTTTGGTTCCCACCATCTGTGTTTGATATTACCCGTTTCTCCACAACTACATCAATCTAGATGTCATTGGTGGGCATTTCATTTATTTAATTGGTCAATTTTATTTATTAGTTGATGTCAGTCTTATGGGCAAAAGATGATAGTAAACTGTTTTAAACAACCAATATCATTTTGGAAAACTGCTTTTATAGTGGGAGCTGGTTGTGACCTGGGTATCGCCTGTACTTATGTTTCTATTCTTGCAAGCATGGTTTATTTTTAGTCCTGGACTCACTGACAACCCACACATAGGCTAGAAAGCTAGAGAAGTTTGAGGGTTCTGTACACAGAAGCAGACTCTAATATCCAGCCTCAGTCCTGTCATTACATGCAAAGCACTTGTGGCCAAATGGTTAGAACTGGTTCTGCCCGAGACGCAGCCCTTTACTCAGAAAGAGGAACACTGTGCTCGTTTCAGTACTCAGCCTTGCGACTCAGTGCTGTGAGAATGCCTTGCCTGGAGAACTGTGTCTGAGAAATGGAGGTTCTGCAAGATAGCTCAAAGGGAGCATCAGGGGTGAGACCTCATTGTAGAGGCCAAGGGGCCAGCTTAACACATACAGAGATAAAAACAAAATCCAGAAGCCTTGTATTCCTTGAGCAGAAAGAGACATAAGAGGTCTTTGGTCCAAATTCTTGTTGTATGTATCCATCCATCCATCCAATTCAGTATTTTCTAAGTGCATACTATACAAATGCCAGGCACTGTATGAAACCCTGCATGTCCTGTAATCAAAGCTGCAGGTGAGAATCTTTCCAAATTTTGGTCATTAGACGTCCCAGATTTCCCACTGCTACTCTCATTGGATTGACCCAAGAGAGTTTTAGCATTTATATATTAGACAAATCACAGGCTTGGCAATAAGATTGGAAGGGGCAGGGGTGCAAGGGATCTTACTTAAAGCTGAGGCTGTGTTTTTCAGGGTAAACACCCTTTTTAGATAGCATTTACTGCAACACTGGTTTTCCTAATCCTCTGATCCTGATCTGCCTCTTATTTTTTCCACAGCACACATAACTTTCCATCATGCTGTATAATTTACTTATTTCTTATCATTATTGTTTATTTGCTGCCTTCCCCCCCACACTAGAAAGTAAGCTCTATGATGCCAGGAATTTTTGTTTGCCCTCATCCACTGATCAGCCCCTGGAACTAGAAGAGTGCCTGGAATGAGGTCAATACTAACTAAATATTATACAAGTATTTGAACAAGTAAGTGAATCAAAGTGCTGCAGACAGAGATAATAAATAATAAACTTTTCTAAGGATACTTTCATTCTTACTTTACTGAAGATTAAGAATACATAGCTGCTCATATTATAATTTGGAACTGAGAATAAAATACTTCTAAGCCACATCTTGACATTGCCACTGAGCTAACCCAAGTATAGATAATTACAGCTAAAATCAAGAAGTCCTTCTTTCTGTCCAAACAGAGTCTTTCTTGTTTGAGGCATTGCAACTCCCATAGAAAGTATCCTTTAATGAAATGTCTTCTATTTTGACAGCCTTAGGAAGTTATAATAAGCAATTATGAAAGAGAGAAAAGAAAAATAATGTCATCACTTCATTTAAATAGATGGCAAATTTGGAGGAAGAAAAAGTTACAAATACTACTGTGTGGGTCAGATTAAAACTTGGGCAGTTGCTTCTGCCTAAGGAAGCTTCATTTCAAGATGGCATTATTCGTTGCTAGTTCTCCTGCACCTTTTTGGCTTCCTATAGTGTATGTAAAACCATTCAATTAAGGGTCCTTGAAAGGCAGGCAGCGTGGCCCTGGAATAAACACACTTTATATACACCCAAGTGATATTGAATGTCCAGGGATTCTTTGTAAAGAGAGACAAGAGTATTTTCTTTCCCCACTTCTGCTCTTTATTGATGTAGAAGAATCATGCTGGAGCCAGTGAAATTGATGTGTTTCTTTCCTAGTATCTGTTGAGATGGAATTCAAATTTAGTATCCCTACATGTTACCTAAAAGGCTGGCAAAGTTTTGTCACCGAGTGAGCAATAGTTGTAGAAATGGTGCTACCATTTTATTTGGGGTCATCGGATGCTCTGTTCCTGATTAATGTGTGCTGATATTATCAACTATAAGACCGTTCCTGTGCGTGCTTTTTTGTGGGTGCTGTGTTTATGGGAATTGTACTTAGCTCTGTCTGCGACTGCATTTGCACACACTTGTGAAGGGATGTTCCAGCTTTGTTGTCCAGAGAACAGAGCCTGGATCCAAATAATTTTGACATGGGTTTAGATGGTCTGAATCCCATTGTTGTACTTTGCAGATTTCCAATGTGCCTGACTACAAAGACCTAAGTTTAAGGGAAAGTCTAAGCCATTATCAAAAAGTGGGTATATAGGAATCCAATCACCACTGAAGATTTTCAACTTTGGAGAGAAAACGGACTGGAAAACCTGTGTTAGCTCAGTGCAGACAAGAGTAGTTATTGGTTCTTTACATAATGTATTTGTTTTTCATTAAACCATTCAGATAAGGTCTTATTAAAGTGCCATGTATTATTTATAGTGTTTCTTATGAAAATGAGCTGATGAGAAAATTCTGTCCTCTTCTTGGGGCATTTGCAGGCTTTTCCAATGTCAGCAAGAAAAAAAGTAAAAATAAAAAAAGAAGAAAAGCAGGGTGAATCTTTGTCAGTAGTAAATAACTTGAGGAAAAAGGAACGGATAGAAGAGAGGAAGGATTGGAAAGGCAGGATCTTTGGCCTTTTATTCCATCTGTGTTTTGTGGAATGACTTTCTCTTTGAATTTGTGAATTGCAAAATAAATAAATATAAGACAGGTAGAATGTAAAGAAAGAAAGTAAAGATGAACTCACTTTATTTGTAAATCAGAGCTTGTCTAAAAAATGTGATTTCTGAGATGACATATAGCAAGAATTTTTCAAACTAATCACTGCTACCCCACCCCCCAAAAGCAGCACAAAATACTATCCTTTACTCTTTCAATCCCCCATACCAACTTCTTCTCAGAGTTAAAGGGTTAACCATGAGACTTTGTCCCTACTAAACTGATGAAAAGTGAGAGCGCCAGGGTGATTGGAGGGACAGGTTTTGCAAGGTGAAAAGTAGAAAGAAACAGTTTGGTTGGTGTTTTGCATCTTGAGGACTTTATAGATATTGATGACATTTCAAAACAGAACAACGGAAAATAGAGCTGTGGAATAATTAATTTCCTTTTCTTCAGAAGCATTTTGATTAGCCTGAAAAGTGAGTTGTGCCCTGTGAGCTGATGGCTCAATTCAGAAGCTGTCATTTGGCTGACAGTGTTGGGGTGAGCTTTACAGATGGGTCAGTGGGATGCCCCTGGTGGCCAGTCCCAGGGTCCTGCCCTAAATGTTCTTTTGTGAGAGAGCACCATCCCCTCTCAGGTGCAGCTCTGTCCTGCAGGGCATTGACAAGTTCTCAGCAAGGTTTCTTTCAGGGAACCCAACAATCGAAAAAGATGCTGTTCAGACAGCTGCCCTTTTGCTCTGCAAATTAAAAAAAGAAAGAAAGAAAAACCAATCATTGGGTCAAAATTTATATTAAAAAAATATGACTACGATTCCTGATCATGATTTTACTGCTGCCAAGAATGTGTTTGTTTGTTTTTTGTTGTTTTTTTTTTTTTTTTTTCTTGTGGGGACCAAGGACGAGTTAGAGTCTTAATATTTTCTTTTGATTTGCAGATCACATCCTATTTTATTGCATAAAGACTAACGAAATCTACTAATGAATAATTATCACTTCATAAAATAAAGGGGAGGGGGAGACCCGCCTGCAAGAGCAGAATGTTAATTTGGACATGGAAGGCCGGCCAGGCTAGAAAAATAAATAAATAAACCATTGTAATTTGCTCTCTGCAGCCCACGGAGTCATCTCTTATCAGACATGGACTTCCCCACCCGGTGCACTTATAATTTAAGAAGAGCAGGGATTCTAGGCTGGGAGAAGCCCCCCTTGCATTTACCCAGAGCTGGCGTGTTTTGCACGCCAGCCTGGGCGGTTTCTCTCGCTGAGCGGCTCCGGCTCGGGGCTGCTTCGCTGTGCTCGGGGCTGCCCGACCAGCCAAGGCGAGGCGCAGAGAGCAAGCTGCGGCCGGAACGCCTCGGGGTGCACCGCCGCCTGCGCTGCCCGGCGCTCGCTGCAGGCGCAGAAACCCCGTTGCCTCCCGCGCCCTCAGCCCCAGCTCCCCAGCCTAGCCCCTAGAGTCTCAGAACTCCAGCTTCTATACGAGGGGGAATCCCTTTCCTGCACTTATTTGCCAACGAGTCGGGCAAACAAACCGCCAGCAACATCTCCCACTCTGGGTCCCAGCTGGGCAGTCGCGTTAATTGTCCAGCTCGCCGAGATGCTGGCGACGTGGGGCACTCGCTCGTTCGCTTGCTCACACGCCCCGCGGAGCATTTGAGCAGACACAATTTACATTTGGTGAGTCGATTTAAAAAAAAAAAAAAAAAGCAAAAGGAGGAAAAGGGGAAAAAAAAAACCAAAAAACACAAAACCCTGCCCCTGGACCCATTTGACAAATGAGGAGACACGCAGCTTCGGCACCAACGGAGTGAGCCTCAGTGTGAGTCCAAATCTCTCTCTCTCTCTCTCTCTCTCTCCCCCTGGCTTGGCCTTATAACCTTCACGGGGGCATGGGGTGGGAGGCACCTTCCACTTTCAGGGGGATCAGAAGGCAGGCCTAACAATCCAGAAAAGCCATAGGGCTACGAAGGAAAACAACTAGTTTCCTGGACCTCGCAAGTGTCCTAGCTGGAGGCAGATGAAAGCTGGGCGCTAGCAAGCCAGTAGGCTCGGAGGAGGGACTCGCGGGGTGCGCTGGGGGGAGGGGAGGGGAGAGAGAGAAGAGAGAGAAAGAGAGGGCCACCGGTGTTTGACTTAGATAATAAGCAAAATTAAAAAAAAAAAAAAAAAAATTAGCGACCAGGCAAAGAGCAACGTGATTGCATGCGAGCGTCCCCACTCGGGTTCGGCGGGCGCCAGAGAGACACCATGCAGCACCCTCTGACGGGAGCCACCTGCGTGGCTCTCCCCAACGTGGGCATGTGTCCCCAGCTCTCGTGTGCCTTGACTTTTATGTACTTACAGCAGGTAAGGCGCGCGTCTTCGCTAGGTGGCTGCTTCCCGGGGCTCGGCCAGACTCGGTACCCGCGTCTGTGGGCTTGGGGAGGGGGCGCGTGCGTTGAACGGGAGGGGTGGATCGGAGTCCCCCATCCTCCGTGGAGCCCGGACACCCCGCGTCGAGCTGTTTTTGCACCTGTCTGAATACTTGGGACCGCCTGATTCCCAGCCTGGGTACCGGGAGTTTGAAATAGAAAACTGCTTTTTCCTCACTGTTATGTTTCTCTCGTGCCCGTGCGTCCAGTGGCGACCTAAGACCCTTTGATGCTCAGAGTTTGGATCTTTGTGGAGGCATTCCTGTGCCTGTAGTTTTAATTCAGCTGATTTAATAGGGGATGAGAAGAGAGAGAGAGAGAGAAAGAGAGAGAGAGAGAGAGAGAGAGAGAGAGTGTGTGTGTGTGTGTGTGTGTGTGTGTGTGTGTGTGTGTGTGTGTGAAGTATTTTTGTTTTCTTAAGTTTGTCTGTGTTGTGCTATATTCAGTCCGCATGGGAGTGGAGCGTTTGGATTTCTGGAGCTGTCAGCCCTAGAATCTGCCTTCAAACTCGCTGGCAGTGCTGTGATGAAGGTGAGCTGAGTGGTTTAGGATGCTGCCTTTGTTACATGTGGAAAGGTGTTCGTTTATCTGTTCCTTTGTCCCCCATCCCCCTTAGTGGTCTTGCTGAAGGAGTCTGTTTTATTTTCCATTCAGTGTACATTTCAAAATCTCAGTGCTTTACTGTCTGTCTCTGGGTGTTTCCCTGGGACGCTCTCTGTCGCTGTCTTTCCCTCTTTACTAAGAAGGTTGCTGTCTGAGTTGGTTCCTGGGCTTGGGAAATGGCTCAATACTGTCTTGTGGACTGACAGGCCAGTTCTCTGTCATTGAGCAGGGACTGTGGTTGTGAATTGGCAGGTTAAGAAGGGTTTTGTCGTGCAGATGGAAAACATTTTTCCCTTTCCAGATCTCCAGCCTGTACTGTAAAGAGTTTACAGTGATTGTAGTCATTTTGTCTGTTTTTCCATTGACTCTCCTAAAGAGTACCATTCCTTCAAATTCATTGAAATTCATTCAAAGGGAACTTCATTTGCAAGAGTTGAGAGGGGTCTCCTTCCCCAAAGATTCTCACTTTCAATCTGTGTTATAGGAAAACGTAGTCATAAAATGTCAGGATTCTGTTTTAAACGTTTGGGTAATTTGTTATCAAGGTGATTGCCTCCAGAAAATATTTCTTTAGGCGTATTTTCTGTTGCAAGTCTTTTCGAAAACAGCCCTAGAAAAAAATCATCTTAGGAACAAATTGGCTTATCCATGTAAATGTTGTTTTATTTCATTTCTCATTAAATAAATTGTGCCAGGGAACATTTTCCAAGAGCGTATTGATAACATATTATATGATTTATCTGCTTCTACCATTTCTGCGACTTTGCTGTGAGTGTGTGTGTAAGAGTGTGAGTGTGTTTTACACCAGTTACCCACCAGAAGAGAATCCTAGTAAGCATTTCCACAGATGCTAAGCCTCAGTTGGATTTAATCAAATTGTTAATATGAGTTGCTCTTTTACCTCCTACATTCACTTCATTCGTGTTATGTATTAATCTATTTGAACAGCGTTACCTAACACGTAGAATGCTATAGGTATTCGATGTTGTCACAGTTTCTTTGTGTGTTATTTTTATTTATTTATTTATTTTGTGTGATACATCCATGTTTCCACTTTCTAGATTGTTAAACTGGTTTGCTTACGTAGGCACAACTTAGGAAAGAACACACTGATTTTGAGTGAGAGGTTATTCTTGCCGTGAAAAGGACAACTATATAGGATAAACATAAAGGTTCTCAGCATCTTCCAGGAAGGCTCTCCCATGAGGAAAACACCCTTGTTCTGGAAAGGAAACCTTAGCAGCCACAACAAATGTTTAGAAATGACTCAATCAGCATTGTGGTTCCATATGAAGATAGACGGAGGGTGGGTTTCGAAATATGCCTTGGAATGTACCCCACTCTTGAAAGGACTTGTAATGCTTCAGTGAAATCATTTATAATGTGATGCTGTGACATAGTGTGTGTGTGTGTGTGTGTGTGTGTTTATTTTCTCTGAGTTTCACTAAATGCCTGAAGTATAGTATAGGCAGACATTTATTTTTGCCTGTCATTCAAAATCAGGTTTTCTGGCCATTCCTTTTCCCCTTCCTGAAGGTTCGTTATCAGGGTGGGAGAGATATACCTTGGGGTCATTTCTACTGGCCATTATTGTCATGATCATTTGTGTAGAAGTCTCATGCCATTGCTTTAATTTAGCAGTCCAGACAATCAGATGATTAAGAGTGTGAAACAGTTCACTCTAATCTCTGTAAACTACTTACCGATGCAATCTATGTCTTTGACCCATACATCACCACTATATTTTTTATCTGCTATTAATCTATAGCTATTATTGTATATCTATCTAATTTTGATATACACAGGGCTAGGCTGTACTCTCAAAGTAAGGTGATCGAATGGATAAATCAAACAACATTTATGATAAGTAACACCTTCACTGGAAACATTTTATTATTATTTAGAAATAAGCTTATTTCAGAACTGTTTGTCATTCAGATCACCAATCACATAAGAAAATAATTAAAACACAACTATCTTATTTCTGAGCATTCATTGTTCTGTTTTTATAAATGTGCAAACTCTGATCAGGACCCACTGAGTCTTCTCTGAAATATATTTTCCTGGAATAAAGTTTCATATGGTACTTATTCCTTATCCAATATCTAAGGAAAATTACTTCATCATATGCTTTCTTTGCCTCAGCACTAACATCCAACATTTCTTCCTAAATTCTTCCCGATTTGTCCTTAAGACAACTCACAAAAACAAAAATCCATCAGGATGCCTCAGCATCCCAGTTTACTCTAAATGACCAAGTGAAAATGATGTATAACCCTTTAGCTACAAATAACTTATTTATTCAGGCCAGTGAAGTGGTGGCTTTGGTGTTAACATTATTTGACTTAATCCCTTTCATTTATTTATATTTGCCAATAACTTTCGTTTAGATAGATGTTTTCCTACAGTTACAATTTATTTTTTTTCCTCCTCTTTCTTAACATCGAAGATTGTACTACAGTTTGGAGCTGCAAGATGGGATGTTAAATAGTGCTTTTGGCATCTAGATATTGGATCCAATGATGTCATCATATGTGTCTATACACATGCACACACACACACACACACACATACTTCTGGTATATAGTATGTATTTTGTGGTTGTAGCCCACTTTTGGATAAAAGGAACAAGTGATCATTGGAGCAGCTGGCTTCAATCTTGCTGTTCAGAGAAAGTCCCTGTTTCAGCCTTCGTTCTTGATACACTGTGGTATCTTTACTTCGTGTCTTCTTTGATGGTGAATCTTCTTCTCACAACTAAACTTCAAACCTATGTGTCGCCAATACAGAATCTTCCCAGAATTCCAAGTGGGTACCCATTTAGACATTCTTGCTTTGAGGGAAAATTCTGAATACAAATTCCAAATTGGGGGTTTGCTATGAACCAGATCAAAAGAGAACCTATTTTGTTTTTCTTGCAGAGAGTAATAGAAAACAACCACATGCACACATACATACACACACACACACACATAACATGAAAGTCTAGAGATACTGAGTCACAGAAGGCAAACCAAAGAACATCCATCTCATGGTAAGGTCCAGTGAAGGTATAGACAGGATGGACTACAATGTTTGTTTTATGATGCAAACTGCGTGTTATATTCCCCCCAGAGCTGTGTTTTACACTGAGTTTTAACTTCCCAGAAGAGGATCAGAAGCAAATTAACTTCATTTTCCCTTTTCCTAAGCCACCATCTGTGTCTCCCATTACCATTCTAAGGAAGCTTCTTATCCATCAGGTCCTCTTTACTGAGAACCTTTTTATCAGCCTAAATTTAAGAACAAGTCCAATGCCTAAAATTCACATTAAAGAGGGGGAAAAGGGGCATCTAAAGTGGACCATGCCACTGTCAATATCTGAAGATTGGTAATTTTTCCCACTTAATGATGATCCATGTGGTTTGTTTTAAGTAGTGAAGTGGTTTGTACAAAGGGTAATTTCTGGTAAATGAAGCCATTGCTCACTGTGGACATCTTCAGATCGAAAGCAATTGAACTGAAACCTGCATATCAACCCTTTCTGTCTTTAATTAGAAAGTGATTCTCAGTGCGGAGAGGCACCCGGATAGATGGGCTCCCCCACTAAGTCTGAAGGAGGGGGATTGCCCCCATGCACAAGCTGCGGTTATAAATTTGGGAAACATTAGGTAGGCCGTAACAATTACGGCTGTGCAGAAAAGTTCAATTCTCACTGCAGTTACTTACCTTGTGTTACTCAGTCTGATGATTTATAGGGGGCCAAATGGCATTTTATCACATTCTTTCTTCTTGGCTTAATCCCGTGTTGATTTATTAGATAGTGCTGTGGATTGGGGTAGTCAATAGTGTCAATAACGCAGAAAAGAATTAGGATAGATTATCTTCATGTCTGAATTGTTTAAGGAATTTAAGTAGCTCAAATAAGCACATTTCCAAGCCTAGGTGGTTGTCTGCTGGAACACAGGTTTCTCTGTCTCTTTCTAGAGAGATCTTATGTCATAGATTGGATCATTAATTCCTTGTTTCTCTGATCTTTTCCAATTACCTGGAGAAGGCATGAATTGTTACGCTATCAGCCAGATAAGGCCACATTCCAGGTGAACTGGGATTCATCTAGGCTTCCCCCATTTCAGGAACCTATGGAAGGATGGATATTGCGGACATCCGCCTCATTACCTCCTGTGGACTACGGAGTGCCTAGGATTGCCTCATCTTTAAAATTACTTAATCCGATATTCACTTGTGAAAATTGTGAGCATCTGTGCATCCACAGACCGAAGCCTCATGCCATTCTGCTGCTCTGCCTGCCATTTCATCGCGGTTTCTGTGTCAGAACATGCACCCTGAGCT